AGTCCTCAGGAATAAAGATACAGATATGGACTGTTGGGAGTCGGTTGCAGCACAATTAAAAGAGTAAATAAAGTTCAAGAAATGAGCGTGGGATGCTGGTAGCTTCTGCTACAACGGGCAGTTTTTGGTTTGCAGACAAAAGGGTGCTCAGGAATGGAAAAGCATAGACTTTTTCTGTAAGCAGCACTTGCTAGTTTCCACTTGGAATCCCTGCAGCTTCAATATATGGACAATTTCTCAGCATCCTCAGTGCTGCATAGTGCCCTGGTCCGTGCCTGGGCGTAGGCCTCTTTTATGTTGTCAGGCTTATTGGGAGCTCCCTGAAAGCACGACCCAGTGCCCTGTCTCCTCTAGTTTCCTCACTGGAGAACCCAGCACAGGCCTGGCCAAACGAGAACTCACGTTCTAATTGAATTGATGACCACATAGGTGAATACTGCTCTATACATGGACTCAAGAGAGAGAGAGAGAAAAGAAAAGCCAGTTGGAATGAAAAGTCTTTGCATAGCTCTTGCTTCTGCCTGCACTGCTGGGTCCCTTGATGGTCATGTGTCAGATTCCTTGTTGTTCATATCTCAGCTGCAACATCACCTCCCTGGGTCACTCCTGACTCCATTACTTAAAGTGGCCACCCAGACACTCTTTAGCACATTACCTTGTTGTAATTCTCTGCACAGCACTTATTGCCATGTGAAGCTTTCCTTGATGGTTTATATTTTGTTGCTTGTCTCCCCCAGAAATACAGGTTATTTATACCGTGTTGCCTTCTTTATATAAGAATAAAGTTTCCATGAGAGCAATGACATTGTCTGGCTCACTCACTGTAGTACCTTCAGCACACACTAGTGGATCAGTAAGTATTTTTTTTATAAATGAATTTATCACAAACAGAAATGAAAACAAACAACTTCCCTTTGGGCCCTAGACTCTTATTAAAAAGATTTACAATAGGACACCTGGGTGGCTCAGTTGGTTAAGTCTCTGACATTGGCTCAGGTCATGATCTCACAGTTTGTGAGTTCGAGCCCTGTGTCGGGCTCTGTGCTGACAGCTCAGAGCCTGAAGCCTGCTTCCGTTTCTGTGTCTCCTCTCTCTCTGCCCCTGCCCTGCTAGTGCTCTCTCTCTCTCTCAAAAATAAATAAACATTAAAAAAATTTTTTAAAAGATGAAAAGATTTAGGAAGGAAAGAAATGTCCCAGTGACTGAATGGAATGTCTAGATTCCGGAAGAATCTGTGGGATTTTCATTTGGAAAAGAGGTAACATAACTTCTTAAAATCGCTTTTATTAAAATAGAATCAAAACAATATATGTGTGAGGTAGAGTAACAACAAAAATGAAGATACTATGTGTCCAGCTTAAGAAATATAGTCAGGATCACCTTTAGTAATGGATGTTTATTACAGAGGCTCAAGAGTATATGAGATAGCACTGAACATCATTTCCTCCCTAGCCATATTGTTACTTATGGTCCCCAAAAGTCAGACTGCAATGTCAAAAAGCCTCATGAGGAAGTGGGAAAAAATAGCTTAACATTTTGTGGAATAAACCTGACTTCAAATTATCTGCTCTCTTTGTTTTAGCTGCCATATCCTCATCTCGGGAGAAGGTGATAATGACATCAGTCGCCACAGTTGCAAATCCTGGGAAGCAGGCTTGAAAACCCAAGAGAAAGGCCCAGGCCCTATGTAGGCTTTTGGGAGATCAGCTTGACCCCGAGAGCTGGAAAAGGGCTGACAGGCAGAGTGGAGGCTTAATCTTGAAGCAGGAGATCCTCTGAGAAAAGCGGTTAATACAGTCTGGTCAGGTTTGGTCTTTACCTTTTTAAATCACCTTTCACAACTATATTGAGTTCTGGGTCCCCTAAGAGGGATGGTAGGTGCTTCCCTCTGAAGCAGACTGGTAGAGATGGGCTGGGGCGTGTACCCTAACAGCTAAGTGGCCTGTGCCAACTTCTCCAGTGTGTCTCTCCAGAAAAGGGCCCTCTGGAGAGTCTGGCAATTTTCTGGCAATTCGGGTAAACTGTGGCTTAAACAGACTTGGCTGTTTCCAGAGGCCTCTGATTTGCCCTGATTCAGTTGTCTACATGCGGACTGACATATCCTTCCAAGAGACGAAAAGAGGGGAACACAGCAGGTCACCAACTCCTTCCCTCTAAGGGGGAACTGGACTTTGTCTTTACGGCTATTCCCCCTACTGCACAGGAAGCTACCCTAAACTGCCATAGGCCACACCGGCGTGCTCAGAACCCATACACTGGAACCTCCAATGCTCTGTCACAGACCCTTGCCTCCCGTGCCAGTAGTGGACAGTTCCTACAAGGTCAGACTCACATTGTGCTAGCAGAAGCCCATCGGAGGGGCTGCCATGCAGCTTTTTACTTTCTTCCTCCTCTGACATCTAGGGCCCACTTGGCCACAAAGGCTGCTTGTTAGTACAGAGGAGCTAACTCCCCTGGAGGCAACCCCAGCCAGGGTCTCTCAGGCAGACACTTCTGAGACGTTTGTATGCTTTTAGGTCCATCCTTCTGACCCCTGCCCCAGAATTGAGCCTTTATTGCCTATAGCGGTGACTTTGATAACACACTTGTTTAGCGGCTTTTCCTTCTTCTCTGTCTCATCGTCCTCATGGCCTTATTCCTGTTTCCTGAGATCACCTCCCAAATAAACTATCTGCACCCAAGGCATTGTCTCAGCCTCTGTTTTAGGGGAGGTCCAAACTGAAACATCAGCTGGCATTTTTATTCCAGCTCGAGCCAAGCCCTATGTGAACAGGTCAAGCTGCCTAGTAAAGGGGGCAACTGCCATCCAACTCCAGCTGATGGTTGCCATGTGGACCTGCAGGCCCAGCACTGCTAGAAATTCAGGCTTATTGGGAGACCCTCTTTAAATGTTAGCACCTAATTCAAAACTAAAAACATTGCATTGTGCCCACCATATCTGCTAAACAGATCAGGCCCATGAGCAGACCACATCGCATAGAGTATGGGCACCAACCCCATGAACAGTGGGGGAAGGAGTCGTTCATTAATGGACTAGAACTCTAAGGATGGAAGAATGGGGGAATGAGGAAACAAAGAACTGGCTTCTTCCCAGATTAGAGAAGGGCCAGAAAGGGCCAGAGCCCTTAGATAACACATCAGAGCTAACACACATTGAGTGTTTACTATGTGCCCAGCTCTCAACCACATTACCTCAATCTTACAACCTCAGGAGGCAGATACTACTTTCATTATCATCGTATTATAGGTGAGGAAGCAGCGGTCAGAGGTTATGATAGAGTTGGGACTCAAAATGAGGCCTCTCTAGGTGACAACCCTTAACTCCTGCCAAAGGAGCCAGGCACTGGAGGTTTTAATTTTGGGTTCACTTAGGAAAATCTCCTCGCTTCATTTTACAGAGAAGTCTCAAAGAGGGAAAGGTCTTTATTGGACAAAGCTAATAAAGGCAGGAGGGATGATAAAATAGAAAATCACCGGTATGCAATCCCTAATGAAATAATAGATCAAAGCTAGGCAGATCATAATTTAAGTCAAAGACTATTGGGCACTTGATGGATAAATCAGGTCGTTCCTGATATAATGCAGAAGCAAGTACCCCTCACCTCCTATGTTGTATACTTGCCAAAAATACTAGAATCTGAGTCTGAATGAGCCTCTAGATCTACCAGTTTACAGGAAAAGTGGGCAATACTGGGACATATTTAATAACATCATAGGGATGCAACTAGGCAGATCCAGAACATGATTAATTTTAGGGCATATCACCTAGTTTTGCCAACAAATGGCAATGAAGACAAGAAGGGGAACTGCTAAGTATTTTTACAGTGATTTAAGGGATGTCAACAAAATGCAGCGTTATGAAACTTGTTTGGACCCAGAGTTAGACAAGTCAACAAAAAGACATTTTGTGATAATTGATGGAGTTCAGGACATGCTACTCCAAAATGTGACACTTTGGTGGACTGAATATTTTAAGCTGAAGGAATCTGAAAAATGAGATGCTGGAAGGATTTTCTGACCTCCCAAGAAGCAAGGTCATGAGACCCCATGTGAGAAGTGCCCTCCTTATACCCAGAAGAAAGGAGCATCTTTATCTTTTAAAAAGGAGGGACACTGAGATTTTGAATGAAAAGGCCATGCTAAGTTCCCCTAATTTACTACGCTGCACTCATACCCTACTGTTCCACCCACAGTTTTCCACAACTTTCTACTTTTCATCAAATCTAATATAAAAATGTTCAGGTTTAACTGGTTTTTTGGGTCTTCATTTCCTTATGAAGCCTTCCCATGTCACATCAAACTTAACTTATATGCTTTTCTTCTGTTAACCTGTCTTTTATTATAGAGGCCCAGCCAAGAACCTTAAAAAGATAGGTGGGAAAAGATATTTTTAAAAAGTATTTTAAAAGAGGGGCGCCTGGGTGGCTCAGTTGGCTAAGCGTCCGACTTCGGCTCAGGTCACGATCTCACAGCCCGTGAGTTCGAGCCCCGCGTCAGGCTCTGGGCTGATGGCTCAGAGCCTGGAGCCTGCTTCCGATTCTGTGTCTCCCTCTCTCTCTCTGCCCCTCCCCCGTTCATGCTCTGTCTCTCTCTGTCTCAAAAATAAATAAACGTTAAAAAAAAAATTTAAAAAGTATTTTAAAAGATATTAGATGATATTAAATAATTAAGAATTACTATTGATTTGGTTAGCAATGATAACGGTGTTGTCACATATATACATATTTTTAAGGCATGTATTCATTGTTGAGGGGTGGGGAGGGATAGAGACAGGAAGACACAGGATCCCATGCAGGCTCCAGACTCTGAGCTGTCAGCACAGAGCACGATGCAGGGCTCGAACACACAAACCGTGAGTTCATGACCTGAGCCAAAGTCAGACGCTTAACTGACTGAGCCACAGAGGTGTCCCGTTGTTACATATATTTTTAAGTCTTCACAGTTTTTCCAGAAGACCAAATGGAACACTTATTATATGAAAACCTCTATACCTCAATAGGAGTCTTTCATGGAAAGGCAAGCTTTATTTCAAAGCAACCTGAAAAAAATCGTCAGGTCCACAACTACAAACTGGTAGGAGGGAGCACACAGTTACACATCCATTCGGCAGGGCCTCAGTTAGGAGTCTTGCCAATTCCTGTTGATTGCCCAACATCTATTCGGTTTCCTCTTCAGGTTGAAACTGAAAAGGTTGAATTGGAGATGCCCATGATATCTTTGTTATCGAAACATCCAAACAGGAAAGAGGACATCTGGAGTCAACTTAATCTGCTTAATTATTAAAATAAGTATTTACGCTGCGAATACAGTTAACTTAGTAGCTTTCTTCACCTTTTCACATTTTTAAAAGAGTCACAGAGGTTTCATTCATGTTTCAAGCAGTTGAGTTGGTAAAAATCCTATCTCTACTTCATAGGAAATGGGTTACCCTCAATTACTCCTTATGAGAGCCAGCTGAAAGATTATTCCATTGGTTTTGAAGGGCTGGTGGGGTTGGCATCTGCGATGGTAGCCAAATAAATGAGATTTCTGTGTAACACATGCTGGTACCTATGGGTAAAAAACGGGCAAAAATCAGAGGCTTGTTTTTACTGAACACTAACAAAACACTGGAAAGGAATTTACCCACCCTAGTGGAATGGCTCATCTATTGTTTAGATGATTTAGTATCATCAACCTCCTTATTTAACACCAAGGAAAATATATCCAGCTTCTTACCTGTTTGCGCTTATAGTTCCATGGCTACCTCTCTGGGTCAAACCACTCCCCTTCTTGCCTAGGCTATTGTATCGGGCCAGTCTCATAACTGGTCTCCCTGCTCTACCTTTGACTCCTAAGTAGCAACCTAAGGGATCATTGTACAGTATAAGTGAAGACTTGCAATACCTCTGATTAAAACCCTCCAAAAGCTCCCATCTCATTCTGAGTAAAGCTGAGCTCTTCCAGCCCTTCTGATGGCCTGCAAGGCTATAAGATTGGGGCCTCCAGTTATGTCTCTGATCTCAGCTCCTACCACTTTCCCTTTGCTCACTGAGTTCTGGCTGCAGTGTCCTCCTTGCTGTGATTTGAAGATAACCAGCATGTCCTAGCCTAGGGGGCTTTTCCACCTGATGCTGACTCTGCCTCACAAATCTATATAGCTGGCTCCCTCACCTCTGGTGTCTGCTCAAATGTCGCATCAGATATACCCTGTGTAAAATGGCATCCCTTCTCCCTCACTTACCCTGGTTTATTCTTATTCAAAGCACTTACTACTATGTGCCTAATTGTATGATTTCCTCCTTCCAGCTTCTGGAGTCTAGAATGTAAACTCTGTAAGAGCAGACAAGGTACCTGATTTGGTAAAAAGCAAAGCTGGTTTTGGTACTGATTCCCCAGTAGCTGAAACAGTGTCTGGTACTCAGTAGTACTTATAGAATGTCTGTTGAACAAACTTAAAGGGACAAAGCACTTCAAAGGTATCAATGTGAGCTTACTATAGTAGTGATTCTCAATCAGGTGACAGAGTTCTCTACCTAGGAAGGCAAATCAGACTAGGAGGGCAGGAAGCATGGCCTATGCAATGTGAAAAAGCCCACCAGGAAATTTTGATAACTTTCTTATGCATAGGTTGAGAATCGCTACACCAAATGGAATGTTTTGCAACTTCTATATAGAAAAATGAGAATTTACTATAAACTGTAAAAAAGCAAATTGTCAGATGCCAGAATCAAATGCAAAGACTTACACAAAGATACCTCTACTATTCCATTGAGCTATTCAGTGAGGGATTGTGGGTGATTTTTTTAGGGGGTGGGAAAAGCATGGCTTTCTTAAACATGTCTTCAGTAAGAATGAAATAATATAATAATAAACGGAGCATAATTCCTGGACTACATTTAGAAAGACTATTTTCTCTCATTTTGGTATATAACTAGAAAACACATTCAATTACTGTGCTGAATGTGCCTTTGGCTTAACTTGTAAGTCTTTTATGGTCCTTGTGTGCATTACAGACTGCGAGTTAGAAAATGAAAGGGAACTAACTTAACAGTCAAATGGTCTGACCCCCTCAGAAAAAAGATGAGCTGAGGATCCATGATGAGCAAGGGGCCACAGCGCTCATCTCCCGAGACTAGTTTTCCACGTGATCTACTCCCCACCCCTGTTGTCATCAACTGACATGTCTACCTGAAGGAAGTTTGCAGTGAGCATAATTCAAATTCAGAGAGGGTGCCACATCTGACTCCAGGCTTCACAATGTGCTGTCTGTGTGGTTTGGAGCAGGTAAGTAACCTCTGAGCCTCATCGGGGATCAGTCACCCAAGACTCCTAGTTGAGGTCAGCTTGCTGTATCACCACACTGGTTTATCCTCTCAAAAGTTGGGAGGAGGGGCGGGTACTTACTGGACGCACTCATTCGCCCGGCCTTTGTTCTGATACTCCACGATACAGCGGATGAGCTGGTCATTCTCCTCCAGGAGCTGAAAGACCAGAGAAAGGGTCAGCGCAGTGCGTCATCGGGACGGCCAGGCACACTGCCCCCTAGTCTCTTCAATGCGGGGCTGTACTGCCCCAGTGTTCTTGCCGACTTCGTTCCGGTCTCACGCCACACCGCTGCAAGCCAAGCCCCTACGCAAACCCACCACAAGCCTCAACTGGGATGCTGCTCACTCTAGGAAGCTTCCCGAACCCGAACCCTTTCAAGATCTCAACCAAGGAACTTCTCTCCGCCCTCGTTAGCGCTCACCCGCTGGATCGTCTCCTGATTAACTTCCGCCTTGCCTTTCAGCCAGTCCGGTACGAAGGCCACCGACATCCCGAGAAGCCAGGTTGGAACCCGGTCTCAGGCCCTGAGGACCCCCGTGCATCTAAACCGGAGCCAACCGGCAGCCCCAGGCGCACTACTACTGAAGCAGGGACCCATGTTAGGTGGGGCCTACACTCTCGACGTTGATTGGGTCCTCCCGGTGACTGGGAACAGACGGAACGTCCTTTGTGATTGGGCGCGCAAGAGCGATGGTCAGAGCGTCAGCCTCGGTCCCGCCCCCTGGGGCTCCGCGCTGTAGGCGCTCGATTGCATTTGCGCAGTCTGGAGAGCTAGCCTCGGGGGCGGGGCTGGGCGTCAGCTCCTCGCCTTTTAGGCGCTGGGTAGTCTATCTGCAGGAGCATCTTGCGTTGGGTCACACGGGTATTGTGGCTGGAACCCAGATATCTGGCTCCAAGTCCACTCCTCCCCATTTCGACATCACTCTGGTGCCTCCAGATACGCGTCTGGAACGTGAACCCTGGCCATTGCCTCCTGCCAAGCCAAACCCTGCAGGTAGTAGGAAAACACTGCTGTTAGCTTTATTCTTTGCTGAGGAAGAAACTTGTATCTACACCTATTTTTCCTTTGGGTAGTAATAAAGCTCACTAGGTTTACGGCCCTAAAAAGAACTGTTATTTTCTCCATTTTACAGATGAGAAAATAGGTTAAGTAACCTGCCCAAGATCTCACAGCCACTAAGGGCAGAGCCAATATCTGTACACGGGTAGTATGGCTTTAGAGCCCTCGTTCTTAACTTACTACTCCATACTGCCTATGCACCATACTGCAGAGGTGGCTTGCTGCAAGATAAAAGAAGGAAGCTGGTCCTACCCTCCTGGGCCACATAGTTACTGCTGGCAACCGCTGACACTCTGAAGTGGTTGAGTCTTCTCTCTTGTTCAACCCATCCATTACGGACATGGGAACAAGGCTGGATTTCCCTGCAGCACAGGGTGAACAGCAGCCACATCATTTAGGAGGAAGATCTTCGAAGCCTTTACTCAAAAGGGATCTGGGGGGGGGGGGGGCAATTCTGCCTCATAGAGCTTCATTTCCCTGAGTAGTGGCCCTGATCCAGAGCAGGCTCATCTCCTTTGCTGGGCTCTCCCTCCACAATTCCCTTAGTCAACCCTGTGAGGAGGCAGCTTTCATTCCATTTCACAGAGGAGTAAAACCCAGTGAGAAAAGTGGGGCAACATACCTGAGCTGGACCAGGACTTCAGGGCTTCCTGGTTCCCAAGCCTGTACTATTAACCCCAGCAAGGCTCTCTCCCTGGGGAAAGTCCCCAAAGGCTCCACAGAAAACAGACAGATGTCTCAATATGAAGAGGAAGTAGAGGTTACCCAGGTGACTGGTCCCCAGAGTCTGGACTTTCTCCTAGGAACCATGGAAGCTATAGACAGTTTTAGGCAAAAAAGAAGTGAAGTCAGAGATGCATTTTAGAGTTTTCCTTAAAAAACAAGCAAACAAACAACTACAGAGAAGGCTACTTGCTGCAGGTGTGCAGGCCGGAAACGGTGGAGGAGTGAAAAAAAATGTGTGCATTTGAAAGACATTCGGAATAGACTTGCCAGGTCTTAGTGAATTAATGGAGGAGGGAGGGAGAAGGAGTAATTAGGGATGACTTCTGGTGTCTTGGTTTGAGCAACTGAGAGACTGGTGATGCCATTTTTGGAGACAGGGGACAGTGAAGGAGAAGTTGGAGTGGAAGTGAGAGAGTGATCAATTCAGCCGTGGACACGTGCATGCAAGGTGATGTCAGACGGAGATGTAGAAGTCTATGGCTGGCTATTTGGGTCTGGAACTCAGGGTCAAGGGCTGGGCTGGCGATATAAGCTTTGAGGGGCATCACTTGTGGAAGTGGAACCATGCAGTGGATAAGACTGCCCAAGGAGAGTGACTTGGTTTCTCTCATGGCCAAGGAAAAGAGGCTACAGAGAAGCATGGGGGAGGGGTGGGGAGACTAGAGATATAAGAGGAAATCAGGTGGGGGCGGTCATATAAAAATAAGAGTGACTGAGGAAGCAAGACAGGACAGCAATGACAAATGCTGTTGAAAGGTCAAGCAAGGTAAAGACTAGAACTTTAATGTCTTTAATGAAGGAGGTTTCAGTGATGTGGTGAGGCAGAAGTGAGAATTTCCAGGGACTATGAAATATAGGAAAGATGAAGCAAATGGAGTCTTTAGAGCAGGCCACTGTTTCCAAGAAACCTGGCAATAAAGGGGAAAAAGGAAAGAAGGTGGTAGAGGGACAGAAGTTGGTGGGAACTGAGGGCTATTATTTTAATGGCTGCTCTTTCCTCGGTGAAGGGGGCACCTGGGAGGCTAGAGGGATCTTGAAGAGTGGTAGATCTGGGGAGCATGCAGGAGATTTTGAGGTTGGTGTTGGGGAGAGCTGGAGACAGAGCCAACCCAGCAAACATGGGACTGCCGGGCAGTGTTGGGGACCTGGTGGAGGCTGGCGAGGTACATACATAGCACTGATCTGTATGGTTGTGCGATTTTTTTTTTTTTTCCCAGCAGCACTTCCAGCTCAGGGGCTTATTTAGAGAAGCCAGAAGATTGGATTTTTTTCCTGAGTTGGAGTGCTCCCAGGCAGATGTGACAGAAGAAAAACTGCACAATGGAGGTAAGCATATTGTGAAGAATGTGATGGAAATGATAAACCCTGCGCTTTCAGTGGATGGAGAAGGAAATAAAGATTGGAGAAAGGTGATACATACAACAAAGTAGAAGGACAAGTGGACTGGAGGCTTCCACAGGCCAGGCAACAGTGGGCAGAATTCTAAGAACAGCCAAGGGACAGTCAGAGATCAGGTGTCTGCGTTTACAACTTCAGAGGTGGAGCTCTTCTTCTGTGGTGATACAGCAATCTAGGGTGTGAGCCTGGAAGTAGAGGAATGAAGAAGGCTGGAAAAGAAAATCTCTGGAGCCTGGAGTCAAAATGACCAATGACTGGAGAGAAGGGCTAGGACTCCAGACACCACATCTTACCCCTGTAGCCCAATCCACTATGGTGCCTGAGCCACTCTCTCTGCACCCGTCAGAGAGCACAAAGCCCTGTTATAAAGCACTGACATAGCAGGTTTTGAGAGCCTGAGGCTCCACATTCAAAAACTCTTGGTTTTTGTGGGTCTGGCACCAATTTTTCCTTCCCCATTTAAGCCAGAGTTTTGTTTTCATGACCTGTGGTGACAAGAACAGGTCTTCATTCACCTGCGAATACACTTTGAGAGGGAATCCCAGTGATTCCCTCACATTCAGTGAGGAGGTTTCAATCTCTGTTATCAATCAAATCTCATTGCTTTTATCTTTTGTGCCTTTTATGACCTAGCCTCATGATCACTTGTCACACAGGCCAACCCTGACTCAATGTGGAGGAGACCACGCAAGAGTGTGAATACCAGGAGGTGGGGATCCCTGGAGGTCATCTGTTTTCATTTTGTAATTTTTCTCTGGCTATGTAAGGCCTGCTTCAGTTTCTACCCATGTGGTGATGACTTTCAAAAGTTGACGTCTAGCCCAGACCTGTACCTGTACATTCAACTGCCTACATTGACATCTGGACCAGAAGTCTCTAGGCTACCTCAAATTCAACTTGTCTGAGATAGAACTAGAGATCATTTTTATTTCCAAAATCAGATCCTCTTCCAGTTTCTCTGTATCTAGGAACCCCTCCACTATCTACGCATTCACTCAAGGCTGAACAGTGGCATTATCCTTGAAGCCACTTTGTTACTCTTTCACATCCAGTTCGTCACCACGTCTTGTTGATTTTGTTCCTACATGTCTCTGCAGACTGTCCAGTTCTCCTCCTCTTCACCATCGCTCCAGTCCAAGTCTAAGCGAGCTCCAGCTTCATCGTCTTTTGCCCAGATGACTGCATTGGCTTCCCAGCTGGTCCTACCAGAGCTTCTGTGAGCCTTTTTCATTTTGATCTTAACTTCAGCAGCCAAAGTGATTTTACACAAGATAAATTTTATCAGTTTCCCACTGTCCTAAACTTTCTAGCATGGCCTACAAAGGTCTTACCTGGTCTTAGCTCTTCTATTCTCTCTAGTGGCTCTCACCCTATTCCTTACTCTCTAAACTCTCAGTTCCTTTTCTTGTCTTTTTTTTTTTTTTGGTGTGGCAAAATATACATAACTTAAAATGTACCATCTTAGCTATTTTTAAATGTTCTGTGACATTTAAAAATTTACATTATTGTGCAGCTATCACCACCATTCATTTCCAGAACTTTTTCATATTCTCCAGCTGAAATTCTGTGCCTGTTAAACACTAGCTCCTCATGCACCACCTTTCTTTTCATCCGTCTAAAGGAGCCCTGCCGCTTTCTTGTTCTTTATACACAAACCGCCCTCTGTCTGAAACACTCCTTTTTTCCCCTTTGCCTAGTGAGCAACCAGTCAGCTATAGTGTCACGTTCTCAAGGAAGCCTCCTCGGACTCCCAAGTTCAGACCAGAAGCTCCTGTAACTTCTCTCAAAAACCTTGTTCCTCTCGGAAGAGCACACATCTCATTTTGTATTTCAACACATGTTGTGTAATTGTTTAATTGATGAGTGCTTTCGCTCTGCCTTCTCTTAACATAGTGTTTAGTGTCAGGAGTTCCTCACTGTGTCCCCCACCGCCAGGCATAGTGCCTGGCACACAGCAGGTGCTCAAAATGTGTTGGGCGAAAAATAAATGGACGAGTTCCGCTTCCCTGCATTGGGCCATCCATCCGTGTGACACCTGTGAGTGCCTCCACCCCCAGACTGGGGTGTGTCCCTCCAGGGTCGGACTTTAGCACCTCATCCAGGCTGGCAGGAGGCTGTGCTCTTTGGTTTGCCTATCTCGGACTTCCCGCCCAGCTGCGCAGACGGCAGAACCCACAGCGGGGGCGTGTCGCGGACTTACGCAGAACCTCCCTGTCTCGGCACGTCAGTTCTGTACTCTACCCCAGGAGGAATCGGGCTTAGACCTAGAAGTTTCCTCGCACCTCCGGACGTGGGAATTACACGCTTGAACGTCAAACCCAAGCGGGTGAGAGCCAGCAGATGGGAAGAAAGCTGGGAGGAGCGCGCGCCCCTGCCACTCCCCCTGTGCCTTTGGGTGGCAGCCCTTTAAGAACTAGCTAATTCGGGACTCCTCCGGGGCTGGGCGGGGAAGCCACTCCAGGATTGGCCGGTTCGGGTGCGGGTGTCGCTTAGCAGCTGCAAATAGGGATTCAAGGTTCGGGCATGCGCACCATCGCCTACCTGCGCCTGGGCCGCCAGTGACCTGGGCCGGGTCCGCCCGGTGGGCTGAGGTTGCAGAGGAGGCGGCGGGTGGTACGGCGGTGAGGCGGCGCGACGGGCGGGCGCCGACTCCCGGAGGCCGCCGTCGGGGCGAGGTGAGGGCTGGCGGGCGGAGTCGGGTGCCGCGGCCCGTTAGCGGAAAGCAGGCGGGGTCGGGTGTGGCGCAGGGCGGGCCTGGAGGTGGAGGCGGCCCCGGGCCCGCCCCGCCCTCAGGCCCGACTTAGCCCCACCCGGTTTCGTGGGTCTTCCCCGAGTCGCCTGTCCCCCTTTCTTCCCCGGGCGGCTCTCTGGACTCGGGGACAACCGGGGCGCGCCTGCTGGAACCCTAAACTGACTGACGCGCGTGGAGCGCTGCTCCCAGTGGGAAGAGAAGGGGTGTGTCCAAATGAGAGAGGGGACGATTTCCTTGATTATCCTTGATTATCCACGAAGCCCCGGTCTGAGTACTGTTTAATTTTAATAGCAAACTTCCCTTACCATGCCGAAATTATACGACTTGGTTTACCAAATACTGGGTGCACTGGACCAGCTTTTCCGAACATTAGATGTAGGAGGTGATGCACATTTGTGTCCATTACAGGCTTACCTCTAGACCTCCAGAGACAGAAGGATAAAGCACTCTGGGAAAAATGAGGTTTTTAGAAATCAAAACCACAGAAGAATTATTCCTAGTGGCGAAAAGTATTTGGTGACATTTGTTACATGGTCAGAACAAAAAAGTAAAGCTCAGGCCAATGGATAGGGTAAATCTTAATTAAATTTTACAAAGGAATTAACCCCGATAAAGGTAATTTTAGTAAAATTAAAATGTAAATAATTGAAGGTGGTTTCATATTGGTAAATAGAATTAAATCGATATAATAGAGTTTGCTCTGGAAAATACATTGTAGACAATGCGGTTATAGCTCTGTTTGTCTTTACAACACAGAAGACATCTTGGAGTCCGAAAGTTTTATTCTCAGAAAGAGCCTCAGAAACAAGCTGCATCCAAAAGGTGATTGAGGGTCAGAGAGGAAAATTGGCTTCTTCAAAGTAACACAGCGAGTAAGGAGTAATTGTAACAAGTGTGACGCTAGGCCTCTGCTCCTTTCTATTAACAGGTCTCTGATTAGTTGGGTAGTAATGCTCTAGGAGAAAGAGAAAATAGAAATAGGGTAGCTGTGATCCCCAAAATTGGATTTAGAGAGGCAGAGTATATTGAAAAGATTGCATAGGCTTTCAGATGTTTTCAGTAAGGAAGTTTGGGTTTGAAACCTGGCTCTCTCGCTTATGTCTTAGTTTTCCTACCTGTCCAGTGTAGGTCATGCCTACCTCATAGATAGTTTTGAACAGTAAATAACATTATCAGTTTAAAAGTTCCTAGCAGAGTGCCTCACACGTAATGTTAGTCGCTATCAAGTTCAGTCCCCTACTCTTTTTAACTCATTTCAGAGTTATGTGTACCCTCCCTATCCCCACACCATCCCCAAGAAACATGGAACAGAGGATCCTGAGAGATCTACACATTAGGTTACCGGTTCTCAAGTTGAAGATGAATTCAATAAGGGTGACTAACCCAGTTTTGTTTTCTGTATTGTGTATTTGAGGAGTGGGTAATATGCCTCATGGTGAAGACTTGTGTTTGAGTATTTGTGTGCCCAATGAAATACGTTGTTTGTTTGCATTACTGTTTTGCAAGGCTTGGTCATGGTCTGGTCATTTAATGCTGTTTTTCTCTCATGCTTTTTCTTTCCCTCTTTTTTGGAGGAGGAGGGGAAGGAGCCTATGTGGTAGGGATTTGGGGGTGGGCTAAGGGTGAGGAAAAAAAAAAAAAAAACAATGGGAACAAGCAAGGGTGGCCTCCAGCTAAGGACAAAGTCTTTGCTGGTAGAGTAGGGATAATCTATACACGAGCAGTTTATAAATAGATGCTGAGAAGAGGATTTAGGAAATGGGGGAGGCAGATTAAAATGTAATTTTTATAAAGCGTGGTAGCAGTGACTTGGGTATGTATATCTGATTACTAATTCAGTTTCTACTTCAGAAAAATTCCATCTGTATAAATGTATTTTTCTCTCCAAGTAGAAATTTATTGTGGAAAAGTGTTCAAAATATAGATTAGGATATGACAAGATCTGAAAACCCACATTTCTTGTTTCAGTGGGCAAAAATAAGGCAGCTGTTAGGTCATTCATTCGTTTGCTTAACAGTTTTTACTGAAGGCTTCTCATGTGTGCCAGGCATGGTGTTAGGTTAGGAAGCCAGTCTACTGGCTTGTAGAGGGAGCCGGGAAGACCTGGAAGAGACTATTGTCTCTGTGTGAGTACTCTGAGGGTGCTTTTGTCTTTGTATAATCGATAATACATTTTTTTATTATTGTGGCATGATTTTTCAGATTTATACCATTACTTCTTGTTTCTTATTTTTATTTATTAAAAAATATTTTTTTAGGGGCACCTGGGTGGCTCAGTCGGTTGAGCGTCCGGCTTCAGCTCAGGTCACGATCTCGCGGTTCGTGGGTTCGAGCCCCGCATCAGGCTCTGTGCTGACCGCTTGCTCAGAGCCTGGAGCCTGCTTCGGATTCTGTGTCTCCTTCTCTCTCTGCCCCTCCCCTGCTCATGCTTTGTCTCGCTCTGTTTCTCAAAAATAAATAAAATGAAAAAAAAATTTTTTTTTAATGTTTATTTAATTTTGAGAGAGACAGACAGACAGATAGATTGTGAGTGGGGGAGAGGCAGAGAGAGAGGGAGACAGAATCTGAAGCAGGCTCCAGGCTCTGAGCTGTCAGTACAGAGCCTCACACAGGGCTGGAACCCACGAATCACAAGATCATGACCTGAGGCAAAGGCAGATAATTAACTGAGCCACCCAGGCGCCCCACTACCTCTTATTTTTTGAACTGAATACTAGTTAAATGTAGATAGCTTTTATTTTAATTAATCCTGAGATTAGAATACCTTCTAGTTTGGAAATGTCATGTAGTTATGGAGCTGCTCACTATAAAACATGTTTTTCAACATTCAAGCAGAAATCATTGAAACTACAGTTAATTAGCAGAAAAGATTATTGATCTATTTATAGAGATGTTTATTTTATTTTATTTTTAAAGTTTATTTATTTTGAGAGAAAGAGAAAGCATGAGTGGGGAAGGGGCAGAGAGAGAATCCCAAGCAGGCTCCACGCTGTCAGTGCAGATCCCGAGACAGGGCTCAAACCCACAAACCACAAGAGCATGACCTGCGTGGAAGTCAGGCATTTAACTGACTGAGCCATCCAGAGCCCTTACTTATAGAGATATTTAAAAATGACGCTTACACATAAAAATCAAGTGGGAGCATAATTAAAGTAAGTGATATAAAGATCTGAAGTTAATACTTTATTCTTCAAAGTTTATTTAAAAATAATTCCAGTTTTAGGAAATTGCAAAGATAGTACAGAGCGGTCCCATATACCCTTTACCCTACTTTCCCCCCCATTGGTTACATCTCACTTAGGTATAGTACAACATCAAATCCAGGAAATCAACATTGATATAAAGTATGTATAGCTCCATGCCCATTTTAGCACTTAATGTAGATTCCTATCACCACTGTCGCAAAATACAAAATTATTCCATCACCACAAAGATCTTTTGCTCTCCCTTATAATAATCACAACCATTCCCCTCCTCCCCACCATCTCTGACCCTTAGCAACTACTAGTCATTTCTCCATCTCTGTAATTTTGTCATTTTGGGAATGTTACATGAAAGGATTCCTACGGTATGTGACCTTTTGAGGTTTGTTTTTTGTTTTTTTTTTTCACTCAACACAGTGCTCTTGAGATCCATCCAAGTTGTTCTGAATTTCAGTAGTTCATTTCTTATTACTGCTGAGTAGTATTCTGTGGTATGAATGTAATGTTTTATTTAACCATTCAGTATTTGTAGAATTTTTGGTTGATTCCAGTTCTTGGCCATTACAAATAAAGCTGTTATGAACAATTGTACACAGGGTTTTGTGTGGATGTAAATTTTCATTTCTCTGGGATAAATGCCCAGGAGTGTGATTGATAGATCATATGTTAATTTCATGTTTAGTTTTGTTTTTTAAAGTTTATTTATTTTGAGAGAGAGAGAGGGAGAGAAGCACAAGCAAGGGGAGAGGCAGAGAGAGAGAGAGGAGAGAGAGAATCCCAAGCAGGCTCTATGCTGTCAGTGTAGAACTTGACATGGGGCTCAATCTCAAAACTTGAGATCATGACCTGAGCTGAAATCAAGAATCAGATGCTTAACCGACTGAGCCACCCAGGCGCCCTTGCATGTTTAATTTTAAGATACTGCCAAAAAAATAAATAAATAAAAGTAAAGGACACTGCCAAACTATTTTCCAGAGCGACTCTACCATTTTATAGTCTTACCAGTAATGTATGAGAGATCCACTTCATCTGTGTGCCTTGACAGCATTCACTTTTAAAAAAATCTTAGGTGTTTTCACAGGTATAGAGCATTATCTTATTGTGATCTTAAGTTACTATCCCTGACTTGTTAGTGATGCTGAACATCTTTTCATGTGCTTATTTGCTATCTGTATATTCTTTTTGGTGAAATGTCTGTTCACGTACTTTGCCCATTTTCTAACTGGATTTTTTTTACTGTTGCGTTTTGAGAATTCTTTATAAATTCTAGATATACAGAGACCCTTATCAGATATGTGGTCTACAAATATTTTCTTCCAGTTGCTGGATTGTCCATGTTCTTTCTCCTTTTCACGTGAGCTTTTGCAGATCGAATGTTTCTAATTTGATGAAATCCAATTTACTGATTTTTGTGGATTATGCTTTTGGTGTCATGTCTAAGAACTCATCCCCAAGTCCTGAAGATCTTCTCTTACATTTTCTTCCATTTTTATAGTTTTACTTCTTAGATTTACATTTATGATCCATTTTGAATTGACTTTTATGTAAGGTGTGAGGTTTGGGTCAATAATTTTTTTTTTCTATAGCTATCCATTGCTTTGGCACCAAATACTGAAAAAATTGTCCTCCCTCCATTGAATTGCTTTTGCACCATTGTTGAAAATAATTTAGCTGTACTACTGTAGATCTATTTCT